GAGCCCTGCCCCAGCGGAAAGGAAAAGTAAACAGCCTTCGGGCAACTATTTTTCCCTCCTCATCTATCAGGTCCTCCCCATTCTCATCCGTGGAGACCTCCCATATGAAAGTTGAATCAGTGGCCCTCTCTGACACCGGTTCAATCACGTAGAATCTCTCTTTAAACATCCAAATAGATTTGGAGAAGGGTTTAAACATCTTCCTCCCTTGCTTCAAAGAAACCCAGCCAAAATTTCTCCCGGACACTTGCCGTTGAAGATGAAAAATGGTGAAGAAAAGGGGGAGGGTGGCCCCAATTTGCAGATACTCGCACACCAGCTCATATGCCCGCATGAAGACAATAGAGTTTGGTTGTAATTGAGAAGGCGCCAGATCAAGGTGCACGAAGACGGTGCATTGAAAGTCTGTGAAGGGTAATCTCAACCCTATCTCTTTAAAAACATACTCGTAGATGGGAAATCGCTCCCCCTACACCCAACAATTTCGTTCATCTTTTGAAGGAAAATGGACCCTCCATTCTCCCTCTGGTCCCACCATGGCGAACATGTCCCCGGTATACGAAGCAAAAAAGAGATGCATGCTCCATTGGCTCGGCCACCATCCACTCATCCACCGATGACATTGCAACAGACGTCTCCACGACCTCAGGAGATGAGGAATCATCGTCTGTCTCTGTATCCTCCGAGGAGCTATCCTCAGACAAATTTCTAAAATGTTCTTCTTTGTCAGCTATGCGCGACATCTCATTTACCTGAAAAGCAGAGGAAAATAGTGAATTCGATGACAAAATCAAATTCACCCTTCCACTGCTAGTCAAGTGAAAGGGCGTGCAAAGGGTCAAGGACAAGATCCTCGACCTAAGCCCTACTCAAATGGTGCAACTAAACAAATAGAGAAGGTGCCTGATAGTTCTCCCTAACGTACCCGAAGATAGTCCCCGGTCATAAAACCTAGAAATCCCACAGGGAAACCACTAGAATCCATGGCACCTCCGTGTCTTCCCTACCCTGGGATCAACCAAGCCTATGGGTTGCTAACTTACCCTTCCTAAAGACAACAACTACACTGCCGACAACAGATAGATGGCTGCGCCACCATCTACCACCAACAACCACCATGAAGTACACCCTATAATTAAGTCATTTCAGTCATAACCACATGCAATATAAGGCATCAAATCAGAAAAATAAGGAATAAACAGAGAATCGATGTACTTACATGGTCGAGGAAGAAGTTCTGGAACAAAAGCGGCTCTGGTCGGACTTTGTACGATGGTCAGGACAGAATTGAAGGCAACGAACAACGATTAAAGAAACAGGCAAGAAGAAAGAGAAAAGGAAGTTCTGAATGAACGAACCCTCTAGCTTTGTATAGGCAAACGACAGACACGTGCACGAGAACACGCGGGTAGGGCATCATCATGACCCTAGCCTAGCCATCATCATGCATTTAATACAATACACGGCTTGAGGCACATGTGGCATCTCCACTCTTCAGATCCCATCAATCGTTGGGCTCCCCAGATCCCAAGCTCCCCGACACCAACATTCATGGTGCCCGGGTAAGCGTTCGTCCAAACACAAGGAAGCGCACGACGACTATGCCCAGAAAGCAGACCATCCTTAAGTCATCGATACCGTGCCCGGTAACAATGACTTAGGGGGATACTATTTTAGACTGGCCTAATGGCTAGGAATGACCCAACCCACTTCTGCTCCCAGAACGACCCAATTTCCTAAGTCCAACCTCTTCGGTGGGAAGTTTACCTTTCTGCCCCTCCAACAGGGGAGGTTGACCTATTTACCTTTAGTCACATCACTTCTCCTCGCCAGTCTCTGCCCATCACGCATGGTTCCACCATCCAGAAACAGTTAAGACGCTTGTGCCTGTAACTACGCTCATGCTCGTGCCAACGGCTAGTTATGGGCACGTTTGCCCGTCCCAACGACTATTTCTGACAGTTACCTATTCTTCAGGAAATAGTTATCTCGCCCTGAAAATAGGGACCAATGGCCAAGCGTTGAGGGCATTATAAAAACCCTCTCATTTGAGAGGGTCATGTATCCAATTTCTCACCTTGAAACACACATATTATGTACTTGCTCTCTCTCTTGCTTGTTTTCTTACTTTACCATTTGAGTGCCTTGCAGGTACACCCCTCCTCCCCTTTCACACCCAGCATCACATACGTTTGTCTTTGGCCCATCTCAGATTCTGATCATTCAGTAAGATCATGTATGTGTGTGTGTGTGTCTATATATATATATATATATATATATATATATATATATATATATATATATATATATATATATATATATATATATATATATATATATATATATATATATATATATATATATATATATATATATATATATATATATATATATATATATATATATATATATATATATATATATATATATATATATATATATATATATATATATATATATATATATATATATATATATATATATACACACAAAAAGAGAGAGAGAGAGAATTTTTCGTCTATATTGCTTTACTTTTTCCATTTTTTCATGTGTGGTTTTCAAGGTTTACCATATTTCTTTAGTGATTTGGCAATTTGACACCCTAAATAATTCTTCCATCCCTAAAACAGATGCTTTAATATTTATGGTCTTCTTATCATATAGAACTTTCTGTTTATTATCTTCAATGCATGCATTTTTAGCTTTTGGTTGATTTATAACCTCGATAATTGTACTAGTATTAAAGGGACCATTTTGACAACTTTCCATATTTTAATAGACCTAGCCTTGATGGTGTCATCTTCCACTCTCTTACAGAGGATTATAATATTTTCTTCTCTTCTTTTGCATCCTTTATTCTTCATGAATTAGATAATGTTGTTTTCCAATGCGATAGTAAGAAAAGCCGGGTCTAAATGAGTTTAACTTGTCCTTTCTCTAAAGAATTATAAATCTAGTTAGAGGAGATTGAGAGATTATGTTTGATCAATTACATTATTTTGCACATATACCTCGTAGTTAACTTATACATTGTGAGTTTGATCCATAAAGTTAACTTATTGTCTCATTTGGTGACTTTAGGCTGATTTCCTTGGTGGGATCTTTATATAAGTTGTAGAGGTGGCAATAAAATCCATTAAGGCAAAATCCATCCAATCCATCCATCAAAAAATCCATCCAATCCATCCACCACACAAAAAATAAGTTAATGGATTGGATTAAATCCATCCATTTATATGCATGGATGGATTCAATCCATCCATTTATATGCATGGATTGATTCAATCCATTCAACATATTTTAAGGATCCAATGGATTATTTTTATTTTCGTTAGATTTATTTTTTTAAAAATAATTAAAAAACTATATTTTTTTTCTGAAAAAAAAAAATTAATTTTTTTGAAAAAAATCTGTTTTTTTTTCAGAACAAAAAACTGATTTGTTTTTCGAAAAAAAAACCGACTTTTTTTTTTGGAAAAAAAATCAGTTTTTTTTTCAGAATAAAAAACTGATTTGTTTTTCGAAAAAAAAGCCGACTTTTTTTTTGGAAAAGAATCGGTTTTTTTTCAGAATAAAAAACTGATTTATTTTTCGAAAATAAAATAAAATTTTTTCTCGAAAAAAAAACCGACTTTTTTTTGTGGAAAAAAATCAATTTTTTTTCTGAAAAAAATCGTTTTTTTTTCAGAATAAAAAACTGATTTGTTTTTCGAAAAAAAAAAACCGACTTTTTTTTTGGAAAAAAAATCAAGTTTTTTTCTGAAAAATCGGTTTTTTTTTCAGAATAAAAAACTGATTTGTTTTTTGAAAAAAAATAAATTTTTTTCTCGAAAAAAAAACCGACTTTTTTTTTTTGGAAAAAAAATCGATTTTTTTTTTCAGAATAAAAAACTAATTTGTTTTTGAAAAAAAAAATATTTATTTTTACGAAATTAAAAAAAAAGTTGGATGGATGGATATCCATCCATTAAAAATATGTTAATGGATGGATTGGATGGATTTTATTCTTAATGGATGGATCGGATTGGATAATTTTAATAAAATTTTAGTGGATTTTAATGGACTAATGGATTGTTTTAATCCATCCATTAGCAATCCAATCCATATCCATCCAATCCATCCATTTTGCCACCCCTAATAAGTTGGTGGTTAAAGTATTGGCCATAAGACTAGGTCAATGATGTATAAGCTTATTTCTCCTAATCAATTGTGTTTCTTTAAAGGGAAAATGTTGGCTAGGTTTTTTTAGGTTGTTTTTTTTGTTTATTTTCTTAGTGTGTTCTTCATAGTCCTTTATATATGTTTTTTACTACTTTCATTTTTACTTTCATGGTGTTTTTTTTTTTGCATTTTATAATATATTATTTAGTCACTATAAACTTATGGAAGAAGAGAAATCAATGTTTGTAAAGATAAATACAACATCAAACACTGAACAATTCTTAATTAAGCATCTCGTCTGATATGTCTCGTGATGATATGTCTCGTGATTATGTGATTTATCTCCTCACTTTTTTTCTTATAAATTTTAATCAATATTTTTTTTCATTGATGAGGAACTAGAGCTAAGGAACATGACGATTGAATTGAACATGTGGTGTAACTCTTGGAAACATAGGTTATAAGAGATCAGTGTTCTACTTTGACATCCACTTCTAAAATTCTATACAAATGTCTTTTCATACCCATCACATGGTGTGTTCCATGCCACAAATATCTAGATATTTAAATATTATGGATCACTATTATATACTTGTGGTTACAAATGTTTCTATAATTGTACATCGGTGTAAAAATATACACACAACTTTGGATGGTGTAAAGCAGTTGTAGAAGAAGAAATAGAGATAAATAACTAAAAATACTAATGAGAGAGAGAAAGAAATGCTATTGATATTCCTTACATTTAGCATTTTCGTGTGTATATATACATAAATGCTCACTTAATGAAACATCATCATCAATTGAAAGTTAAACATTTTAATCTCAAAATATAAAATATGAAAAGCGTCTTCATTATTTTGCTTATTCTTTCCATTCATTTTGGTATGAGTTATAATACTTGCATTTAGTTGTTTTAAAACGCAAGAGTTTTTTTTTTTGGTTTCTTTGAGTAATTAGATTTGTGTTTTTCTGCAGGAAACCAAGTGGAAATGTTAGAGGCAAAAGAATGTAACAAAGTTGTAGCTGGTTTATGTCGCAAGTCTGGAAGGAGTGTTCAATGCAAAATACAATGCAAGGCATTATGTGGATCATTTTCTGCACGTGGAGAATGTGGAAAAGACAAAGATTGCCATTGTAGTTGTTGTTAAATTAACTGGTTATATAATGATGAAATATAATAGTCTCATGATATAATAGAGACAAGATATAATGTAAAGTATATAAGATAGATATATGATACATGCCATAAACATGGTAATCATATCTTATCATGTTTTTATTGTGCATATTATATGAAATGATAATTATAGTTATATATATTTTTTCATAATATGTATTTGATATACACTTTGTAATGATATGGTATAAAATGAGGTGGCAAATTTAACATTGTGTAACATAGACATATTGTTTTCTCCAAATTATTTTGTAACACATTTCTTTATAAGTTACTAAAAATTTATTTAAAACTTATATAAATAATTCCATAGTTTGAATCATATTAGTTATTTAAAAAAAATGTAATCTAATATGCATAAAATTTATCAGTTGGAGTAGTGGTTGAGAAGGCAGGTGAAGTGGGTTTGATTGGAGAATCAAGGATACTGAGAGGGAGGGAAATAAATTGTCTAAAACATATTAATACTATTATTAGTAGGAGAATTAGAAGACTTGTCCATTTAGACTTTTGTTAAGAGGTAAAAGATTTTTATGAACAGAGGTTGTGATAGATTCTTTTTTTACCTTAGTAATTTTCTCAAATTCAAAATAATTTTTTCAACCCATTCTATTGAAGATGGGACTAACATTGTATCTATTTTCAAAAATAAAATAAAAATAACCCAAAAATAAAAGACACCTCAAACTATCCAGAAAATATTTTTTTGTGAATTTTATCAATATTGGAAGTATTTTAAATTGAATTAATCCTAAACAGCATCAAAACAAAATAAAAATAAAACAGAAAATAAAATAAATGAAAGGGGCGGTGCAAAAAGCAGTCCACACTAGTCCAAAATGCAAACTGGGCCAGAAAGGGGGTGCAAGTAGCAACCCAACCCAAGCGCGTCCAAACAAAACTCAAGTCAAACAATAATTCTGTGTATCTGGTCAACAGCAGCGCATGGTAGGACTCAACCAACAGCCATCAGATCAAATGGTAAACGCATCACACGGATCAAAGCATGCTAACGCATTAATGAAATTCAAATCAGATTATGTGCAGCGTGGTCAAACAAGACTCACGGTGAGTCTTAATCTCGTGCGTTCAAACCAAAAGTAAGCAACATCAATGGCTAAGAAGTCATCTTCCCCAATTAAATAAACTGAAACGAAGGGAAACACAGGTGCCGGAGCACGATGGCTCCGATCACCTTCTTTTGCGACACCAAAAATACAGGCCAAGTTCCATTCAACCAAATCAGACAAATCTTAAGTCAAAATTGATCTACGTCTCACGTAGATCACGAAAATGGTATTAGTTTTCCAAAGTTGTAAACACACAAGCCAAATCGAGCAAAAACAGTTTGGAGCTCAAATAAAAAATGTCAACAAACAGCCACGAAAATGAACCAAAAATCAACTACACATCACATGGAACACATTTATGCAAAAATGGCATATAGTTATGACTTAAACAGAGAGTATGGATGAGAAAAAGTTTACCAAGTGAAAAGCCTCCACTGGGTCTTGTTCTTAGCTGAAGCTTCAAGAAAACTGCCCAAAATCACTCCACACACTTGAATGAAGCTCTTGGTATGCTTAATTTCGCTTGAGAATGGCTGAATCTCCAAAATCGTATTTCACTTTTCCTCCACTTTTTCAAGTTTCTCTCTCTGCAATTCCTTCACCAAATCGTGTCCTTAGGGTTTGTGACGCTTGCTGAGGTTTTATGTGATGGATTTGGAAACAAAGAAAGCCCAAATACAAGCTGAACAACCCAATTGCAATTTCAATTTTTCTTCATTTTAAACTTGCCAAAATCGTGCATTCTGAGCTGCACATGCCTCAATTTTTGTTTCCAATCACTTGTACATGGTCTGAATTGATCAAAGGGCCAACAATTGATCCTTGTTTTGATCATATGGTTGAAATTGCACTTGTTACTTCATGGTGAAGAAACCATGAAAATGACCATCAAAATGAACTCAAATTGAAAATCCAACATTGGCATTGTGTTTAGAATATCATTTGCACTCAAAATATGCATAAAGTTGCCTTGAAGTAGTTCCAAATGAATTAATTCCAATTTATCCTTTTTAAGCTTTTTCCCATGAAAATTTCTCCACCAATTCTCCATTCCAAGCCAAATCCATGACTTCTTAATGTTTGGTTGAACAAATGACCCCATTTGGAGCAAGTTTCATGTTGGAAAGATTTTCATTTGAAGTGTTCAAGTTGGTGAAATGGACCTATAATTTTATGACTTATAATCTCACTTTCCCAAAATACCCCTGACTTGCAAGCCTCATAACTTGAGTTCTACAAATCAGAAGAAAGACTTATAACACTCTTTGGAAAGCTAAGACCATGAGGAACAACTTTCATGTTCACAAAAAGTTGAGGAGAAACATCCTTCTAGGTCAAAAATGGCTTGGAAGTTGGTTGACTTTTGTTGACCAAAATCACATTCATCTGAGGACCTGTAACTTGTCAGCATCATAACTTGAGTTCTAGAAATCAGATTAATGACTTCTAGTACTCAAAAGAAATCTAAGAATATGCTCTACAAGTTTCATGACCATGTCAAGATGAGATGAGACTTCTATCTTGAGAAAGGTGGTCTTGATGTTGGGGACTAAATATGAGATTTTACACTGAGAACCCTAATTTAGTAACTTCTCACACTCTTGATTCTTGATGAATTGATCTTGAAACGATATATTATACATCTCAACACAACATCCCATGACCCTAGAGACTTGAAATTGAGTCTTAATCTCCTTCAATTTCACGGTTAACTGAAGATTTACCAGATGAAAACCCTAGATGCAACATTTTTGACTGTGGCTTCTTCCACCTCACACAACAACTTGAATAAGCTCCAACATGGCTCTCAAAGCACTCAATGAGCTCTCTCAACATCTTATATCCATAATCATGCATTCATAACCCTCTGATGCTCTTCAACTGGCCTCCAAGTTAGGAGCTGATCCACATACATCCATCAATCCTTTCACAAGACTAATGACCACTTCTTGATGACCTGATGACCATTCAAACTTGAGTAACACCCCTTGATTAGGCTCAAAAATCTGAGTAGACTCCTCTTTCTATGCACAACCTCTTGATCCCATGTTCAATGAAACATGATATGCAATGCAAATGCTAGAACAAAATGAAATGAAACAAAAGCCAGCCAAAGAAAGAGGTTGGGCAAATTTTGTGGTGAAACAGTGGCTTAATGAAGCAATTTGGTTTTTATATTATAAATGTGATAAATTTTTGTTCAAATATTTAGGTTTGCCAATTAATGGTTGTTGGGGTGCGAAAAACATCCGAGCGTGTAGACGTTCAAAATAACAACATAGTTTCCACCGAAGTTTATTTATTCAAAAGAAAAGAGAAAATATTGATAAAACCCTTAAAGAAAAAAGAAAGTGGTCATCGCGACCAAATTGAGTTTGAGAGCCGGTTACGCGAGGGAAATGTATTAACACCTCTCACATTCGTTGTACTCAATGAGAACCATTTAGTTAGTTTAGCGTGATGTTATTTGCTTTCTTCTAATTATTACTATGTGTTATTTAAATTGAAAGAGACTAAAAATTGGTTTTTTATTAGGGTGTTTGATGAGACGATGAATCTCGCTCATACGTATCCCCATGTGCGATGGGGAACTTAAAGCTACGTAGTTCTTTGTAGAAAAACTTTGTGTTTGTTGGTTGATTTTAATGGAAGATGTTTATGTCACATTCGAGTGGTTAAACATTGTTTGTTGCTCATGAATAAGAGGCCGAAACCGTGTTTGTTCATGTCAGAATGGATCTCGCTTGGATCATATTTGAGAGATTAAACATGGCTTGTTGCTTACACATGGGAGGCTAAAACATTGTTTCTTTGTGTCGCAATGCATAAAATATCATTCATTTAAGAAAAGGTTTTTGGTCATTCTAAGGCGGAAAAAAGTAGGTTTGATTGGTTGAGTTTATTTTAGGTGGAAGACGAATGCTCGATTGGACCAAGACATGTGCCCCGGGTCTGATTGTTTGGGGATCAAAAGGGTGTGCATCCAATTATCCTTTTCAATCCAATTGTTTATAAAAAAATATTTGTGGAAGATAAATAATTGGTTAGAACAAGGTATGTGCCTCAGGTCTGATTATTCGGGAATCAAAAGGTTATGCACCCGACTGTCTTTTTAAATCCTATTTTTGTTATGGGTTTTTCAGTAGAAGACGAATGCTCGATTGAACCAAGGCGTACGTCCCAGGTTCGATTATTCGGGGATCAAAAGAGTGTGCACCAAATTATTTTTTTAATCTGATTTTATTGACAAAAAGATTTTGACGTGTTTTGAATTAAGTTTGAAAAAGACTTGATGTTGATCAAGTGTATGATTTGTTTTTGTATGAAATTAATTTGAAAATGAAATGGGTTTTGAAAAGTAACTCGATGATGATCAAGTGTTTTATTTTATGTTTTATTTTTTCTTTGAAAAGATTGATTTCAAGAGTCATTTTATTTAACTATTTGGTTATTATCACTAACAAAGATACAATAAAACAAAAATAAAAATAAACTAGAGGGAAAGGGGGTGCATACAATACAAAGGTGTGAAAGAGTAAAAAAACACTAAATGAGCTTAAGGCCTCATATGAAAGTAAATAATAAAAAAACAAACTAAAGCAAAATGGGTGCATGCCAAAAAAGGGATGGTAATCCCAAATAGGGCGTCTGGGCCCATAAGAAAGGCTTGCTCCTTTTTAGAAAAACAAACAAAACAAAACAAAATCGCTTAGCCCTTAGATTAATTCTATGGCTCAAATCACATCAAGTTAAAATAGACCTCATACGTTGAATTAACATGCTTTTGCGGTCAACATGATCCTAGGGCGCTAAATGGAGGGTGCATGACAACCAAGTGGGACTCCCTATACATGGGCCCTTAAGTGAGCTAACACAGTCAACAGACCCAAATGCCCTAAAT